AATTTATTCTCAATGATGTTTTCATTGGGTGTTTAATGGACATCAGGTGAAACATTTGTATAAAGAACAACAATACTTTAATTCTTATAAGTTTTTCTACTCTAAAATAAACAAATTAAATAATCAAAACACAACATTCTCTGCAGCCATAATATAAACAATATACTATAATATAAACAAGGTTTATATTATAGTATATTGGTAGTAGAAGATACATGACCTTATATAGTATATAAGGTCATGTATCTTCTTCTATAAGTTGTAGTGGTCAACGAATTACTCTTGAGGATCCACGTGTGTCTTTTCCAGGTGTTATTAATAACAACAGATTGATCGAACAAGCATCATTGACAAGATTTTCAGTTAGTGGAGGTTGATAAAGGGGAGGCTGATTAGGAAAGTTTTCAGGATTGGTATTGGTAAGTCCATATTTCTCAGGTGTTAATGGTTTATAGGGGTAAGAAGATTTATTAAAAGCATTCTCTGGTGAAGGTTCAACATTATTAAAGGCATTCTCTGGTGAAGGTTCAACATTATTAAAGGCATTCTCTGGTGAAGGTTCAACATTATTAAAGGCATTCTCTGGTGAAGGTTCAATATGATTTGTTTGATCAATGATCAGAGCAGAACTTGTTGAAGTGTCTTAGGGAAACTTTTGTTTCTCTTCCATCTGGATACTTTATGTTAGCATATTGAGGATTAGCATCATTGAGTTGCACTTCGTCTACCAGTGGTTCATACTTATTATTACGTAAATGTCTTTTCATTAGTATTGGTCCAGGATGACTTAACCACGAAGGTAAAGTGCATCCAGAGGCTGTTTTACGAAGGTGTTTAAACATTCTTTCATGAGGTGTCGCCATTGTTTTAGTATTAGCTAAGGATCTTTTAGAATGGAGAACGTCTGGCAATACTTTTTCCCAAGCTTTGATGGGTAAATTGTGTTGTCTAGTAGCAATCTCAATAGACTTTATTATGGTTCCATTATACTTTTCGGCTTGTCCATTCCCTTGTGGATTATATGCTGTAGTATGACTTGTTGCAATACCTTTCTCTATTAAGTATTGTTTTAATTCTTTACTGATGAAGGCTGAACCTCTATCGGAATGGATGTAACTTGGCAAACCAAAAACCAAGAATACTTGTGACAAACACTTAATTACAGTCTGAGCTGAAATATCAGGGCACGGGATTGCAAAAGGAAAACGAGAATACTCATCAATTATGGTTAAAAAATACTTGTTATTAGTTTCCGAAGGAAGAGGTCCTTTAAAATCTAAATTCAAACGCTCCAGTGGTTGTGTTGCCTTTATCAAATTAGATTTTAGGTTTGTAGTATCTAGGCTTACATTCACAACATAGTTTGCTCTGATTAGTTATTTGTTTAACATCATCAATTGAGAAAGGTAAATTTACTCCAGGATGACAGAGTGATTGGTGAAGCTGAATTAAGTTGTTAGCGTTTATTGCTGAGCAATGTATTCTAGAAAATGTGTCAGCTGGAATATTTAGTTTCCCTTCCCTGTAAACAATGTCATAATTATAGCACAACAGTTCAATTTTCCATCAATAAATTTTATTTATGTTGCTTTTCGAAGATATAGGACACAGGTTGCTGATCGGTAATAAGTTTAAAATGGCGTTCAGTAAGGTAGTGTTTCCAATGCCTGACTGCTTCTATTATTGCGCAAGCTTCTTTCTCAATAGAGGGATGTTTGAGTTCAGATTTTTGAAGTAATCTTGAAAAGAAAGCTACAGGGCGGCCATTTTGATTAAGAACTGCAGCTATAGCAATGTCAGATGCGTCCGTTTCTACTTCAAATGGAACATTTTTGTCCACATAATCTGTTACAGCATTTGCAATATCTTGTTTAAGTTGATTGAAATCATTTACACACTGATGATCTAATGGGTACTTGGTGTTTTTGGTAAGAGAAGCTATCTTATCGGAAAAGTTTGGAATCCATTTAAAGTAGTATGAGAATAGTCCGATGATACGCTTCATGGATTTAGCATCATGAGGAGGAGGCATTTCTTTCATAGGTTGAAGACGACTAGGATCTTGTTTGAGCTTTCCTTCTTCTATAAGATAACCAAGAATGCAAATTTTATCTTGGGAAAAGCTACATTTATCATGATTATAAGTAAGATTTATATTTTCAGCTGACTTGAGAAATTTTTCCAGATTAATATCATGCTCCTCTTGGGTTTTACCACATATTGTCACATTATCTAGATAAGAATAAGTATCTAAAAGTCCTTCTTTTTTTATAAATTCGTTTATGGTACGTTGAAAACAAGCAACGCCATTTTCAATTCCAAAAGGCATTCGCTTAAATTGGAACAACCTCCCATTTGCTTCAAAAGCTGTAAATTTTCTATCATTTTTGGTAATTGAAATTTGATGGTAGGCTGATTTTAAATCAACTGTACTAAATATTTTGTATTGAGCAATTTTGTTTACTAGATCATCAATCCTTGATAATGGGTAAGCGTCTAGTTGAGTATACTTATTTATTGTTTGACTGTAGTCAATAACTAATCTTTTCTTAGAGCGTTCTCCTATAGTTACAACTACCTGAGCTCTCCAGGGAGACTTTGCATGTTCGATAATGTCCTTTTTAAGCATACGTTGTACTTCCATTTCAATGAATAATTGGTCTTCTTTGCTATATCGACAAGATTTTGAAGCTATTGGTTTACAGTTAGGTGATAAATTGCCAAATAAACTAGGAGGAGATACATTCAACTTCGATAAACCACAAATTAATAGTGGGGGTCTTTTTCCTTCAAATTTAAGGGTTACAGCTTTGTGTTGTTTTTGAAAATCGAGACCCAGAATAACATCCATGCATAACTCATTTAAGATGTTAAGTTTTACTAGTTTATAATGCTCATTTTTTATTGAAATATTGACAAAAACTACTTCACAAATTGTACTAGATAAAGATGATAAAGCCATAGATACCTGTTTTTGATTTTGTTTATGAACTGTTAGGTTTAGTTTTTGTACCAATCATGGGTGAATGAAACTATCAGTGCTACCACTGTCAATGAGAGCATTTACGAATGAACCATTAACCAACATGCCAATTGTTGATTTAGTCGAAGGTGAAATGGAATCAGAAATGTTCTTTAAATTAGTTTTATGTTCAGGATAGTCTAGTCAAGTGAGTGAAGGATTGTATGAGTTCAAAGGTTGATCAACAAGATTCATCCCTGCTGTTGTAAGTTTAGAAGATTTACATAACTTGGCAAAATGACCAACTTTATCACATTTAAAACAAATCGACTCTCTAGCAGGACAGACAGCTTTAGCATGTCTTTGATTCCCACAGTTCCAGCAATTTGAAACAGAATTTGAGTTAAATTGCTTTGGCTTTTTTGTTATTGCAGCTACTGTTGTATCTGATGTATTATACTGGAGGTAATTTTCAGCATTTTTCTGCGCTGATTCCAAGGTTCTAGCTTTTGAAAATATTTTATCCAGACTTATTGTACTGTTTTCTAGTAGTCGCTGTCTGACAACCTGTGAATTTATCCCTGTTATAAATGCATCTCTAATATATTCATCGCAATATTCAATAGCAGACACCTGTTTAAAGTTACATTCTTTTGCTAAAACTTTAAGAGCGTGTAAATACTCATCAAAACTTTCTACTGGCTGTTGCTTACGAGTTGCCAAGAGGTGTCGTGCATAAACCTCATTTGATGGTTTGATGTACACAGATTGTAAAGCTTGTATTGCTGCTTCATAATTTGGACATTTGCTTATTATTTCATAAACATCGGGCACAACGAAATAAGTCAGGATTTTTAACTTATTGAGTTCTTGAGGGAGTTCATCAAGATAATATTCAAATGTTCTGAGCCAATGTTTAAATAATTTTGTTGCCGAAGGTGAGTTTGGTAATGTATCCAAGCGAGAAGGTCTTAGAGCTCTATCCATATTTTATTTTGATAAGAGTAGAAAATTGAAACACTTGTATAAAGAACAATAATATTTTAATTCTTATAAGTTTTTCTACTCTAAAATAAACAAAGTAAATAATCAAAGCACAACATCAGGATTGAAAATCAGCAAACAGTGAGGCCATAAAAAGACGAATTAATAATTTAAAAAAAATTGTAAAAAAGGATAAAGAACTTTTTGTCACATAAGTCATAAAAACTTTATAAATTAGTTGGATGTTTTGGAATTTAATTAATTTTTTTTCTCTGAATGATGCATTCCTCTCTCCAGGCACAAGTTCAAGAAAAAAAATACAGGGAAGTAGGTAGAAATGGGTAATGCATTACCTACCTACTAAATGTAGGTATTGTTTAAATTAATAATTTAGTTACTTAAGCAATAAATAACATTCAACAAATAACATAAATAACATTCAACAAATAATATAAATAACATTCAAAAAATAACATAAATAACATTCAACAAGTAAGACAAATAACATTCAACAAAATAACATAAATAACATTCACCAAGTAACATAAATAACATTCAACAAATAACACAAATTATATTCAACAACAACATAAATAACATTCAACAAGTAACATAAATAACATTCGACAAATAACATAAATTATATTCAACAAACAACATGTAACAAAATTTTTATAAATGAAATAGTTTTATAGAAAACGTCTTAAGGGAAATTGATGTACTAATATCCTTAATAGGTTTAAGATCCAAAAGAATAATTGAAAGATAAGTAATTGGTTACTGAGTATGCCAGGGTTGTTATATAAATTTTTTGTATTGGGTTGTTATATAAATTTATAGCTTAATTTTTTTTTTTTTTTTTTTTTTTTTTTTTTTTTTTTTTTTTGCGGTGTGGGAAGCTTCTATTGCAGATTTTGCAAAAGTTTTTAGAATTTTTTTTGACCTTCTGATTTTTTGTGCGGGCTCAAGTTTTTAAGTTATAATAAATACTTTTAGTTTGTACATAAAATCATGTCTATTTTCTATGTTTTGTTTTTGCTATTTTTTTATGCAGGAACCACTAACTACAAATAGGGGGTTTTTCATTCAAGAGTTAGAAACACGCAGAAATGTAGAAAAACACGCAGAAACACCGAAACATTTACGCAGAAATGTTAACACCGAAAAACATGTTAGTCATGAAAATATAAAGAAAAGAGAAGAAAAAATTGAAGTTGAGAAGTGGGCCATAAAAACAAACAAATTTCCATTGATTGAAGAAATAAGTTCTGAAAATGAAATTGATTAAAGATAATAAAACTAAGTCTTCTTTTTAATAGACACGGTTTTAGATTTTAAACAAGATTGTGTTTTCAACTTAGTAATAATGTTTTACATTTAAAAAATATGTATTTTCATATTCATAACTAAATTTAAATATTGCCTTATTCATAACCTTTTCTTTGTCCTATCCATGACATTGAACTATTTCTATATTAAGGCAAGTAAGTCTTTTCACCCATGGTAAAAAAAACTTATCTAGGAGAAGGTAAACTCTGATATAAAACCCCAAATATAATAGTGTTTAAGGATAGGAAGAGAGAACATGGATATTAATTTTCTTAGTGGTTGTACCTCAAAATAATTACTCAATCATGATCTTTTAGAAAGCTAAACGTCAGGAAGAGCATTCGGTTGTAAAAAGTTGCTTTAGCTTTTCCATAATATATAAAAATCAGTGATGGCCATCACTATATCTCTTTGAACATCATTAATTTTATCTCGCTACTTTTTAAAAACACAGAGGTTTTTAAAAGTAGCGAAAGTGCTCATATTACCCAGACCCAGACTTAATTAATATTATTTTTTAAAATTAGTTTAAAAAAAATTATTGATTATAAAATAATAATTAGGTAAAGAAATACAAGCCTTACAATTAGAAATAATTTATGGAATATAATGGTTCCTTATAATCAAATTTTAAGCGTTTTTTAATTGAAACAATTAACTACTGGAACATATATTTTACGCAAAAAAAAGTTTTTTTGTTATTTTTTCAATTTTATTAAATCAAGCTTTTTAAGAAATTAACAAAAGTACATTTTTTTGAATTTAACTTACAGAAAGATACTTAATATTATTATAATAATAATAAATTTTACTATATTTTGCTTTTATTTAAAAAGAAATTAGTACCCCACCGCAATTTTAGGACTTTAAACTAGGTAATTTCACTAAAAAAAACACTGGGTAATTCGAGCATATTAGCTCATATTTCACGAAAAATGGTGTTTGTAACTGACGTCAAAAATAAAGTTTCAATGCATTTTTTTTTTCCAAACAAAAGTGGAACGATTTTTTAGCTAATATATTTTTCTTTATGAAAAAATAAATACCTATATTTCAACATCAAAATTTCGCGCCACAGATTCTTTCATGTGATAATATTTTAGCAACACAAAAAATTGAATAGCGTTTTAATTAGATGGGAGCCGTTAATTAATGCGTATAAATTTACGCTAATTATATTGCTTTCTATTATCATCTCATAAAGTCAATTCAAAAAATGCAATGTAAATTGAACTTCACTAATCGCACCTTAGAAATCTGTTGGTATGCTCATGCTACCTAGATGCTCATATTACCCGAGTCTACCCTACTTTTTTCATAAACTACACAAAACAAAATATTCATTTAAAACATTCCATCTATGTATTGGTAGCTCTAACATAAAAAGAGAGAACTCGTGCTTGTTCTTAAGTGTAATTCTAAATAAAAATCTTTCATGGCGAGAGTACATAAGTATAACATAAAACAAAGTAGATAAAAGTATTAGTTTTTTATATAAAAATTAACAGTTATAAAACATGGTACGTTTAATAACTATTAAACAAAAATGTATACTTTTCTTTTATTTACTGGTACCTTAATTATAGAAACATTGCTTAATGCAGCACTAACGCAACCAAGATAAAAAAAGTTCTCAGTAGACAAAAACACGCCATGCGAATTGTTTTAAACGTAAATCGTTTAACACTCTCTAAAGATAATTTGTAAGCTAAATATACTCAATGTTTATCAACTGAACATTTATCAGATACTCATATTCATGTTCAAAATTGATTTATAAAATGGCACCTTTAATATTTAAGACCCATTTTAACAAAATAAATTATGTTTACTCTACCAGACCTTCAGTACATTCTACATTTTTTAGTAAATTCTACAACTACATTCAACCCAAAAGATATTATACGCCGATTAAATTCAATATTGCAAATAGAGGGCCTAATTTATAGAATACTAAAATTAATAACGACATTGAGTTCTGTCTGAATTTAAGTAGTGTCATTTATTGTTTTACTTTTGTTTATGTAAAATATATTTCAAGTAAAAATTTGTTTTTACTTTGTTCAATCCGTAGAGGTTCTCTCTCCAGAGTATCTGTTAAAATATTTATTCTTTCCTCGGATCATTGCTATTTTTCTTATTCGAGCTCTAGAAAATGTTCATATGATGATGGTCGATGAAGTAGTTGTTGATTAATTTGTGACTCGTAAATTCGTCGCCAATGTCTTGAACATTAGAATTTGTTGGTCTACTGAAGTTGTTAAATATTGTTGTTTGACCATCGGTAAAGATTGATTAGGATTTGGACCATATGTAACCTTTGTAATATGAACAAAAAATATATGCGCTTTAAACAAAAGTTTAATTTTTGTTGTAGATATTTCAATACTATGTATTAATGTTCAAAAAAACAGAAAATAGAAAATGCAAAATATTATATCTGATTAAACTAAAAGCCTTTCCTGCCATCTTTTCAATTTGTCATCTTTCCTGAATTGTTTATAGTCAAGAATCTACTTTTGTACAAGCGTTTAAATGGTCCGCAAATACTATTATCAGAAATCTGAGATTTGAAGAAGTTAAGTGGCGGTAAACTCAGCATATGAGTTCATTTTCTTTTGCTGTATCAATAAAATGGATTGTAAAATGCAACTCATGGTTTTCTAAAACTAAAAGAATCACCTTCTTCTTTGAAGAACGTGCAAAAGGTAAAAATTGGGTAAACCAAACCTTGAATTTTTTTTTGTCATCCATCCGGTTCAATGCGTTTTGAAAACACAACCTCAAAGTATATTCTTTTGAAAAACTAAATGTTAGGTTTAAAATATATCTTGATAAGTATTTTAAATTAAAAGTAAAAAAATCACTATACGAACGCTAAATTTTAATCTTGATGGAGAACTAAAAAATTCATACCTTTTCCATGTTTGGATATTTTTTAATCTTTATTGTTTACTAACTATCCTGATCGGTTTGGCTGCAATCTTCAGCGCTAAAGATTTTTTAAAAACCAATGATCTTATAAACACGTCTTAGTATGAAAATATTTTTTATTCATTCATTACTAATACAAAAAAACTTTTTTGCTATTCATTACTAATACAAAAAAAACCTAATATAAGGCATAAAAAAGTAAAGTAAGTTTGTTTTTGTTTTTCTTGAAAAGAAAAATGCATTTTTGATGCCCCACTGATCAATCGAAAAACTTGATAATAGAAATCAGGTTTGACTTAATTCAGTTTTTAAAACAAATGATTTGGTTGAACCACTGGCAAACCAAAAGGGTTTAACAAAAGAATCAGCAAAAGGAGGTTAAGTAGCGAAAAGAATTTATTGAATGTGTTCTCGTACCAGAAGACGATTGGTAGCAAATATGTATTTTATTGTAAAAATAGGATCCGTCAAAAAAATACTGTTAGTTGCAAAAAGAATAGCATATAATAAACGCGATTTTGATTTAGTCAAGTTACTTATTGTCTTTACAAAAAGACGAAACGATTTGTCATTGCTTTACACTCAGCAAACAACGTTTTAAAAGAAAATGACGCCTGAACATGGGCGCCAGAAAGATTTTTTGATGTTTGAGATAGGACACTTCAACACAATGTATAAACTCCAAACTTAAGTATGTTTATACTTATGCCAAATGAGGAGTACTTGCAAAAATTTGGGATGGTAGAGGCCTGGGAACAAATAAGCCCTAAAATGTTTGTCCCCTGCCCAAACGTGAGGACACTAATGTAGTAAAATTTTTAATTTTACTATCTTTAACTAAATTTAAATTTATCGACAGATTTTAAATTTCGTAGAAAAATATCGTAAATTACAAAAGTTATGACCATGCAAAATTTACACCCCCCTCATCGGGGGGGAGGTGAAGGTTCGGAAAATTTGCATGTCATAACTTTTGCAATTTACAATATTTTTCTACAAAATTTAAAGTTTGTCTATAAATTTAAATTTAGTTCGAGATAGTGAAGTTGAAAATTTTACTACGTCAGTGCCCTCACGTTTGGGCAGGGGGACAAGCGTTTTTGTTCCCAAGCGTCTGCAATCCCAAATTTTGGCAAGGCTTTCTCCTTTGGCATAGGTATGAACATACTTAAGTTTGGAGTTTGCACAATGTGTAGAAGTGTCCTATCTGAAACATCAAAAAATCCTGCGGGCGCCTATGCGCTTGAAGTAACTTTTGCATACTTCTTGGATAAAAAAACTTTCGAAAAATGTTTATGAAAATACTCTTAAAGAAACACAAACAAAGTGAAAACTTTCGCCTTATCAAGAAATTTTCATAATAAAAAACGAGTGCTCACCTTTAAAAACATCAATTGAAGTTGAAAACAAAAGTTAAACTATAGGATCTTACAAGCCACATATCCAAGCAACTTGTGAAATTTCAGAAAAAGAAAATTTTAAAATATTTAGATGATAAATATTTTACGAAAAAAATTTTCTTCTATAAAATTCAATTTGAATTCGGAAGCGTGTTTTATTGAGATCATTGCGTTTTTTGAAGTACTAAAATCTAACTAGGGTTAAGTAAATACAGTAAAAAAAGAGGTTAATTTAATTAAAAATGTAAATGTAGATTGGGTTCCTGTTCCAATATCATTTAAGATTTCGGTTCCGGCCGGAATTTCGTTTAAAAATGCTACCGAAAATGGATATCTTAAAGCTTTATTAAGCATAATCATTTTGATAAAATAATTAAAAAAAAAGTTTTTTATATTAAATGATAAGCTTGAGAATTATTTTTGTTTCTTTCTAACAAAATGAAAAAGAGGAAAAACAAGGAAAAAGAGGAAAAACAAGGGTTATATGGACTAACTTATTTGTCACACCTGAAGAATCATCATGCTAACATCAAACTTACGCCAGAAAGTTCAGAAAATTCAAAGCCAACGAAAAAGCTGAATTGAAATTAAGAGACAGTTTCAATCTTCAAAAATTGACTTTAATTCTTAAGGCCAAAAATTTTACAAGTCAATATTTGAAATTATGGTTCTTGACCTCCAACCGTGGTCTATTGTAAATGATGCTGGGTTTTTGAGGCACCACGCTCTTGTTGCTCCTAATTATAAAAATGCTAGCAAAAAAGACTACAGAAGTTTACTGGATCCAACTTATGAAAAAATAAAATTTGCTCTCAAGGAAAAGTTGATTCAATCAGAAGCTGAAAGTGTGTCAGTCTGTCTTGATGCATGGTCATCATTTTATCATGGCTACCTGGGGATGACGGTTCACTTTATTTCCAAAGATTGGTACCGTATCAAATTCTGCATCTTTTTTTATCAATTTGATGAAAAGCATACCGTAAAAAACATTTTCAACAAGATCGAAACAGCAGTAGAGAAATGGGAAACTACTTCAAAAATTGAAGTTTGCTTAAGAGACAATGCAACAAATGTAAAGACAGCTTTTAATAAACCAAGCTGTAATTATGTGTCAGCTGGATGCCTTAACCATTCCCTTTAACTTGTCATCAAAAAAGAACTATTTTCACATCCAATTATAGACGGACTGATTTAAAAGAGTCAAAAACTCTGTTCTTACGTATCCCATTCTACTGCTTTTTACACTGAACTTTACATTCACCAAGAAATCCAAATGGATACGAAAGTCAGACTTGGCCGGATGTTGCCAGAAGATGAAACTCTATCTATCATATATTCGCTTGCGCGAACTTTACACCTGAAGTTAGCCATTTCTGCCACCTTAATCAAATTTCCTTAAGTGGTAATTGAATTTTCTGTCCAAGATTGGAGCCTCTGTGAAAAAGAGAACATTTTAAGTGTTTTTGAGGAGGCAACAAAAATATTGTCAGGTGTTGACTCTTGCATCAGTTCCTGTATTTGACAACAATAATTAAAGACAACAATTGTTACAACAATAATTAAAGCTTCGGAAACAACCTCAAGCAATATCAGTGTTCCGGAGCTGAAAATGGCTATGAAAAATGCAATTAAAAAACGATTTTCAGCAATTGAAAAAGCAGAACATTATTCAGTTGTTACTCTACTCGATCCAAGATATAAATGGTATTTTTTCAGATCTCAAGGTGCATTGTAAAATGCTAAACACTTTGTCCCAAATGGACAATTTTAAACCTCTAGATGAATTGGCTCCTGAAACTCAAATTCTATATGACAACAATGAAAAAAACGCATCGTTTGTTCATATAATTTCAAAAACTATTGCGCAATCTCAAACTCAAATAGGACCAAATGCACGTTCATCTTTCAAAATGATAAAAGAAACGTTGAATGATTTTTTAGATAGTCCAATAGCTTCTCAATGCCTTTCAATATCTCCAGTTGTAGAAAACAGTCTTTCAACATCTACAGATGTTGAAAGACTGTTTTCTACAACTAGAGATATTCTCTCAAACGAAAGAAACAGAATATATTCAAAAATATTAATATTATTGATTTCCGGTTCCGGTTCCTATTCCAGTTTGGGTTTATTTTTTGTTCCGGTTATCAATAATAAAGATCGATTTTTGGTTCGGTTCCGGCAAAACATTAGTTCCGGTCGATCACTATTTGTAATTGTATTATATATTATAAACCCAGTCCTATAAAATGATTACTCGTTGAATAAATTGAAATGTTGTTTGAAAGTATGATCTACGTTATTTTAAAATGGAAAAATTCATTTTGGACAAAATTTTGTTTTGAAAGTATAAATAAGATCATTTAAAACTTTTTAAAAACAGACTTACTAACTTGACTTAATAACTCACTTTGAGGTACCAAATAAACGCCCCCGCTCGTCTAATAGGTCTAATTAGAGTATCAAATTTACTTAATAGTGGATAAACTTAGATGCATCTTAACAACGTTTGATTTTGAATTAGGTTACCTTTCACTCGTCGGTTTTTTCTCAATCTAAGTCATCTCAAATTTTCTTCGCAAAGGAACTGATATTATTTATCTGGATATCACATCTTATTTTTATTAACTAACATTGTACTTCTAGTCTAATTGCTATTTTCAACATAACTTTAAAAAAAATATTTTTTTGTCCATTTATTAATGGTTTGTCCATTTTCAAACCTCACCTGTAATAGATTGTGGAAAACACACAAATAAAACCTGCTTCGGAAGATATTTTATTGTTATATTTTGAATAACATAGTCATGGTAAACATAAGGCGTTATAAATTAAATTTTGCTTTATAAATAGCGATATAAATCACGCTAAATGCTTTAAAAAAATATAATTTTCAAAAATGATATATTACAGAAAATATTTTTTAAATAGAAGCATTTAATTTTTTGTAAAAATGTTTTTTCCCCTAAAAACTCGTTGCAAAATAATAAAAAAAATGTTACACAAACCTCAACTGAATGACATGAAGACGTAGGACCCCCAAGCTTATTTAACTATTAATCGTGTTTGAATTAGACGGCATTACGTAACAAAAAATTAACCAACAAAGACTTTTGAGGCAAATGTGTTTTCTAAGATAACAAAGGCTTTTAATTTTTAAATGTGTAAACAAAAACTGCTTCGATATAATTGATCTTTGCTCGTTTTCGTATAAACGACAATCACAATTGGATAAACGAAATCACAAAGTCTTATTATAAAAATTTTAAACACGTTAAAGGTTGCATAACACCGTCTAATCATAATTCGTATCAATATTTAACAGATTTTAAATAAAAATTGTTTATGAATATAAAACGCTATTAACATCATCTTTTTGTTTAGAAAATTAAAACAATAGCACATAATTACGATTAAATAAACATTTTTTGAGGTAGCAAAGCGACAATACTTAATTACTATTATTAAACAAACATATTTTTTGAGGTAACAAAGCGGCAACACGCATGATTCTGTAACAGTTTGCTCAAACTTGATTTTTGATTGTCTAGGCCAGCTATTTCTTTATGCAATGCTGATATACGTTCTTCAAGTGAGCTGCATATCTATGAACAAAAAAAATTCAAAATGTTACCTCACTTTCTTTGCTTTACTAATTTGCTAATCACTACTCCCAAAACTTTTTTTTTTGTCAGTACTGATGTATATATTAAATATAACAACTGAGTTATAATATTGCTAAGTTTTATTGAAATTTTTTGAACAAAACATGACAAGTTATAAATAAAATATGTCATCCAAAAATTACTAAGTTAACAAATTTTAAATGTTTTTAATTGCAAACTCAACAAAGTAATAGGAAAACACTATTTAATTTAAAAGTTGTTTAGAAAATGGTTAAAAAAAAAAGGTCAAAAAGCAAGACAGTAATCAACAGAAGACTTGAAAAAATTATTAGGATCAAAAATGCATTTTTTTTTTTCAGATTTCAAAAAGATAGCAGTGTTTTGGGTAATATTATCAGGAAACTTCATAATATAGATAAAATTTTGACCAAATAAAAGTAAGACCAAGCACGAGTTTGAGTGAGACCTAACTTGAAATCAATGAGAAAACTATGAGGTTGAGTGAGACCTAACTTGAAGCCAACGAAAAAACCACGAGGTTGAGTGAGACCTAACGTTTTTATTTATAACTAGTTAACTTTCAGGTTAATTAAATATAACTAAATATAAGTTGTACCAAATGCAAGGTTTGGTAATTCAAACAAGTGTTGATAAATAGTTTGAAAAAAATTCTAGATGAGATTCATCATAAGTAATGATGACAGGAGCAAAATCCTCATTAGCCAGTATAGTTTGTGCAACAGTAACAACAACTGATTAAGATATATATCATGCTGATATAATTAATATAATTTTTCATTGCTGATATAATTAATCTGATCATTCGCATATTTCTGACTATTTGGTTGATGTAGCAGTTAATTGCATAAATAAATGAAAAAACAATTTGGTTGTAAAGTTTGCATTGATAACACAGCAAACATGTCAAAAATAATTTGACAACAATTGAAAACTGGAGATGATGTTAATCTATTTTTGTAATGATCTTCGTTTAGTTTAGATGCACGATTAAGCTATTAAAACAATTTCAAGCATCAACGATCAGGTAGTTTAAGTTATTAAATATTTTAGAAACAACCATTTTGATACTGCAACATGCCTCAAGATGTCAGATAGAACACAGTGGTTGATTGCCTTAAATCTAAAATACACTAATATCTAAAACACATTAGAAATAGCAATTGCATTAGAAGGAAAAAATTATGGAGTAGATTAATGCTTGACTTAAAACCAACAAGGAATAATAGCTTCCATGCATGTCTAAATCCAGGTGATGATGTAGGAGGTGCAATAATTAGCAGACTAAATACATCATCCAAAGGACCATCATTAAAAAAATCACAAAAAGAATATAATTGAGCTACAAGTTCGTAGCAAAAATCTGTTGAGTTTGATACTAAAGAAGTAATAGATGAAAAGAGAAACTTAAAAGAAAACAATGAGAAACTGAGGACAGTAGATTTAACTAATAGAAAAAAACAAATTCCAAAGTTGCAAAGTTGTAAATAGATGAAAAATAGATGTACTATCACATTTGAAGAAAATTATAATAATTAGTAAAATTTGTATATTTTTACTAAGACTAATTTGTAAAATAGATGTAAAATTTACTATCACATTTGATGAAAAATATACATATTTGAAAAAATATAAATATTTGAAGAAATATATATAATAAATATTTGTAATCAAACATCATGACTTCTGACTTTAAAGGTTGTAATAGAAGCAAATATTTTTATACAGCTGATTAAAATTTATGCTTATTAAATTTAAAATTTATTTATTTTACAACATTAAAATTTGTTTAACAAATTTTTAACAAATGCAGTAATATACTTTATCAAGTAAAATAGCTTAAAAAAATGTTTTACTTATGGAAAATGTTATTGGAATACTTTAAAAAAATAATTTAGATAAAAATATGAAGAAAATTAAAGGTTCTATTAATTGTTAAGAGGAAAATATACCAAATTTATTTTTTTATTTCCAAGACAAAAATAATTATAAATACTTAAAAATTGTATATGACCATCTTATGACTGTTTGTTTAACAATTCTTCAAATATATCTTTTTTGCAGCCAAGCTCATCGTCACAAAAGTAAAATTGCAACCTATCTTCAAAAAGACAATCCATTTCAATTTACAATTTCTTTATGCTAAAATTATTTTTTTTTAGAGTTTACCAATAATAAAAAAGTTTGCAACCCCTAGCTCAAAAAAAGACTATTTGTGCTTTCTGCTTTCTTAGTATACTTTCATGTAGAATTTAATAACAATTTATTGGCGTAAACTGTTAAGTATTGCTGGTAGTTTAATATTTAGTTATCAGTGCCGTACCCAGCGATAGTTTGGTTGGTATCAGTCAAAAAAATAATAAAGGACTTTAGAAAAAAGTTAGGGACCCCCTGGCCAACAAAACCCTCTCACAGGTTCATTTAAATTCAGACCTTTTAACCAGACCATTCAGACCAGAGTTCAATTTCAAATTATTTTAATGTGCCATTTATTTACATTAAATTAATTATTGGAAAAAAAATGTTAACTGCATTTGTTTTAATTTTAATTTAATTTTTTGATTAAAAAAAACAAATGGTTAAATAGCTCAATTTTTTAGTAGAGAATTTTAAATTAAATATGATTTTAAAAATTAAAAATTCAAAGTTAGTTTTGAAGAAATGTAAGATGATTTTTAAATAGTTTTTAAAGAAACAATTATTTCATTTTTATTTATTTGCAAACTAATTATTCTAATTACTTTTTAAATCTTAATGTTACCAAAAACATTAAGATTTAAAAAGTAATTTGAATAACTTAATTAAAATTACTAATTGGAACTTAAAAAAATTAATAAATAATATTAAATTTAAAATAAACTAATAATTTTCACAATGTTTTAAAAAATTATTTTGTCACAATAAAAATTATCATTATTTTTTTTCAACTGTTGTTAAAAAAAAAACTTTAAATAAAAGATAAAAGATTTAAAAATATAGTGAAAAAGCAAAAAAGTGTTATGAAAAAATTAGTAAAAAAAACTTTTTTACTAATTTTAATTTTTACCTTCTCTAGATTCCATATTCTTTGCTTTCTTTTTTCTCTGCACTTTCTTGCTGCCAAACGATTTCTGATTCTTCTCTCCTCAAGTGGAGTGTTTGATGCATCCTTTGAAAAATAAGCAATTAATACAAATACATAATTAAATGTATAAATGAGCACAAACATTAAGTTAAACACATTTTTTAATGACAAACTATTGTATCATTGCCAACCTCCTCCCTATATAAAAAGGTGAAAGGGATTTGTTTTAAAAGGATACCAAATTACTGGATACAAATTTAAAAGGTGATCAACTATAGATAATGGCAGATGGAGAATTAAATTAGTATACAAAACTTTAGTTTTTTTCTCAAATTAAAAGAAGTCTTTAAAAATTTATAACTTTATAAAAATAAAACTCTTTATAAAAACATTTTGACTCACTAATTGTTTTTTTATTCCTTTTTTTTAATTTAATTTTTTAATCATTTTTATATACTTTGAGATGTCAAAATGATAGAGCAACTGCTTTCTCTATATATGCGCAAGACACTAACTTTTTGCATAGTTCAAAATAATTTGCAATTTGATTACTGTTTATCATTAGAATTTGAAATTCCTGCTTCCATTTCGGTTCATAGAAAAAAAAACTTTAAAACTTCCCCATTTTATAGAACATTTATAAACTATTTATAAATGTTCTGGTGCACAAAATATCTTATTTTTAAAAGGAGGTGAAAGTAATCTAGTCACCTGTTCTCGCAAGGAAAATATCTGTATTGTTAAATAGTTTACAACAGAATATTTTATTCACTTCTGAGTAAATTGGCCATGATCTAGGATGAATTTCACCTGTAAAATTTTTCTGCAAAAAAACTTGAGCTAAACAAACAATTATCACAATTTCTTGGATAAATTTTTGATTGACAGTTTATAGGACCCTTCATAACTGTTTCTTGAATATTATGGTATATATGGTATATATTATAACAAAAAATACCAAACATACATTACATACTTAATAGTTTATAATAACACCTGGCAAAATTTTTCAATGTGTCACATTACTTCAATGATGTCTAAAAGGCTTACCAGTTGGCAAGTACAACTAAATGTAAGCAATATAAATGTACAACTAAACCTTAACAATCAATACAAATGCACAATTAAAAATAATTTTATAATTGAGAGCTTATTCTTTTTGTGTTTGTAATAAATAAAAATGAAATGAAATAATTATCAATTGTGTACAAGACTTCAAATAAGTTTATTTAATTCATATAATTTACAACTTATATTATACATTTAAATAAAATTAAAGATATTTAAGGAGTTAAAATTAAAGCTAAAAAGCTGGAGTTAAAAAGCTGGATGCACGCGCAATATCGAGAAGTTTTACTATTGGAGTCGAAGTCGCAATATTGTTTAGCGACTCTGACTCCAGAGCCTTGGTTAACTCCAGCTTTTTAACTTTAATATTAAACTTCTTAAATATCTTTAAATTCATTTATATGTATAACATACATTGTATATTTTATGAATTAAATAAACTTATTTGAATTTTATTCATGAAGTTTTCATGAAAAAGTTAATTGAAGCAAGACTTTAAATAACTTTATTTAATTCATATAATATACAATATATATTATACATATAAATAAATTTAAAGATATTTAAGAAGTTAAAATTAAAGTTAAAAAGTTGTAGTTGAAGTTTAAAAGCTGGAGCAGGAACAAGGGCCGCAAGATCAAAAGATTAAAGTTGAAGCCCATTCTATAGCCACACTTTTTTTTAATAGCCTTTTCACTAGATTTACTACATATCAAATCATTAGAATTTTGAGAAATTTCAAACCATGGGTCCTTATATTTTCATGGGTCCTTATATTTTCATGGAATATTTCTATTTTCTTCAGACTTATTTGCCTATTGCATGTTACAAAGAAAAGTTTAAATAGAAAACTTCAAAACTAATCCAAAATGTTGAATGGCTCTCAAATTAATTTTAATATTGACCTGGTTTCTATGACATTAAAGAAAAACATTTCCTTTAATAGAATGAGAAATAACAGGGCAAAAATATAAAAAACATTTATAAAGCTTTTTTGATGCTGAGTTAAAAAAATGCACTTAAAACGCTAAAATATGGAAAAACTTAATAATAAAAACAAAATAACAAATAACCTATATAACTCAACTTTGGGATCTAATATCTCAAAACATTTTTTTAGTTACTTTTAACAAAAAAAATTTTTACTAAAAATAATTTTACTTTTAACAAAAAATCCACCTAGAAAAACAATAAAAACATATAGTACTACATTTTCAAAGATATATATTTTCAAGAAATACTAAAAACATTAAGTAGAAATTGGAAAAAAACATCCATTGATTCCTAGAATGATCCTTTCATACTCCAAGATAAAATACAAAGCTATCACCGAAACACCCAAGAATGTTCTTTACATCTATTATTGATATTATAATATTGATGAAGTTAAATTGAAACACATGCTTTATATCAGACAACTTTCCCATAATGTAATATATGTGTCCAAAATACTTTATCTTATCATAACAGCATGAAAAACAAAATAAACTCATCCATTCAAATTATATTTATTGACTAATAAAATCATCAGTATAAAGAATGTTTATTAATTGTGAGGGCTTTTACAGTCTATGCTGTAATGCCAACTAGAGAGCAAATTCAGCCTTAAAGCCTAATGAAACTTTTTTGCCATATCCCAGGGTAAGTCTTCAACAATGGGATCAGCATGAAAAAGTTGACAGCCTAAAAAAATATGAAACAACCAGACTGAAACCAAATTTTCACAGCAGAAAAAAAAAATGAAATTTATATAAACTGACCAGATCTTGACTATAGATTTACAGATTTTAGAGATAACAGAGTTGGGGCAAAGAGATAAGTACAGTAGATACTACACACAAAACTTAAGATACAAGATATATACCAATTTTATGCTGTCAATTTTGATTGTACCTGAAAGCCGGCCGGCCCAAATTACTAAAACCTGCCCCGGCCTAACCTTAAAGCTGACTTTTCTTTTTATAGGAAGCAATGAGATAGTTACTAAAACGAATAAGTAGATGTGTGGATTTTATACAAAACTTAAAAAATCATTTTAACTGTATCATCTAGAAAGTACTGAAACTAATAAAGGAAGGAAATTTGCTTAGAGTACAACAGAGACCAAATGTAACCTATCGTTCATGCTAAGCCATTCTTTATAATTGGAGATAGAAATGTTAATGCGGCTCCTGATGTCGCGAGTAATGCAAAAAGTGGTTGTCTCAATGATCCATGAAGAACTTAACGCAATTCCTTCAATAACCCTTCTCACAATTCCTCGCAATAACCCTTAACCCTAACGCAATTTCTCGCAATAACCTTTCACTTTAAAAACAACTACTAGACACTCTTAATTGCCAACACTCTAGATAAAACAGTAGGGTTTGCGGATTCTCTTTATGGGGGTAATACTTGGAAGCATAATGTTTCTGAGATATTTGATATTACAGTCATTTGTTACTATAAAATTTGGAGTTTAGGACAAAGTTGCTTTTAATGCACCTCAATAATTCAATGGAAATTATTGTGGAGTTTTTAAACTAATATCTGCAGGAGCTGTTACTAACAATTTGAACATATTGTATATTTTATATATAAAAAAGGTTTTAGGATTTTGGGCCATGCTGACTTTTAGGTATAACCCTCAATTAAACTAAAAACTGGAAGAAGATGATGCAAAAAAACAAACTAAAAATATTAAAAACAAAAAAAACAAAAAAAATTCACATTGGATTATTTAGAGTTGGGTGATATGAACTAGTAGTTTTATTAGTTTTTATATTCTTTTCATATTTCAACAGTTTAACTGCATTTATCAAATTCAGAAACAAAAAAAACAATATAAATGTTTTTTTTTCATATTTTTGCCACTGTTATTCCTTATTTTAACAAAGAAAATGTTCCAATACATAATAATATAAATGTATATATATTTAAAGTCAAGCCACTTTTTATCATTTTTTCTAAAGAAGTCTAAAGAAATTGTTTAAGTGGCTAAACAATTTCTTTAGACTTCTTTAGAAAAAGATAAGAAAAGTAATTAAGTTATAAAAACCACTTATGAAGTTTGAATGATGATTACATTTAATATTAACACAATTTACAAATGTACTTTAAGAAAAAACAAAGAAACTCATATTTTTATTAACTGAACTTTTTTGATAAAAAATATTTAGCAAAATAAAAAAAGAAACCATAAAAGAAATATAATAAAAAAACTTTTATCATCTTACAAGCTTAAGAATATTTATTAAAACAATTTCTAATAAAAAAACAAAATAAAAAAATATTTACCGATAAAATACATATTAAATTTTATTTTATATTAGCACCAATTTGAGATTTTAACTTTTTTGTTTTTGTTTGTTTTGTTATAATGATTGATTTTATTAAAAAAAAAAAAAAAAAAAAAAACATTTATTATTACAAATTTTAAATAATATCTTATAAAGAATTCATTTTTTTATAATTAAATAAAAAACTTCTATAGATATAACTATATTAGTAATTTTTCAAATTAATATTTCCAGGGAGTTTAGATTCCTCATTATCAAGAATAAATATACTTGATAATGTTATTAAATATAAATATATTTGATAACAAGGGTATCTAAATTCCTTCAATATATTATATTGAAAAATTAATAATAGAGTTATACCCATTTTTAGCCATTTTTAAGATAGGCCCTTTATATGTGTGTGTGTATATATATATATATATATATATATATATATATATATATATATATATATATATATATATATATATATATATATATATATATATATATATATATATATGTATATATCTTATACTGTTGAGTTAGGTGAGCATGATGATGTCATACTCACCTAACGTCAAATAGCCTGCTGCCAGGGGCTTCAGTTCATACATCGACTGACAAATAGCCTGACTCGCAGTGGAGAGCTGCTACATCGACTGAGGGTTTGGTTTGGGTCAGCAACATTTTCATTCATTATTCTTCGTTTTCCCTCATCATTTTCTAAAATCGCTCACTTAATTTAGGCTAGCAAAAAAAGTGAACAATTGGGCATTTAAATATACTATAGTATATATATATATATATATATATATATATATATATATATATATATATATATATATATATATATATATATATATATATATATATATATATATATATATATATATCAGGCCTTGTGATGAATAAAAACTGTGCAACGCATGAGCACGACGTGATTTTTGACGTCATTAAATTCATATTTTATTTGCTTTTCATATTTATAGACATTAACTGCACCAATTTACTTAATTACCGCAAAACTACTTTAAATCATTAATGTAGAAATGTTATTATTTAAAAATGTTTTGGAATGTTTCGTTTTTTAAAATGTAAAAACATTTGTTTATTTTCTTGACGTTTGACACGTTTTGTCTATACTAAACGAATAAAAAATATAACTAAACATTTAAAAAAGATTATAAAATATGCTAATATTTGATTTTTTTTTCCTCAAATATATAATATAAAGTTTTTCAAATAATTATTTTTTTTTTTTTAAAAGTCAGCGAATAATAAACTGGAAATTTTAATATTGTACGATTAAAAACTGTGCAATAGCTAATACTTTTACCAGCGATTTTATATAATATTTTTTTATTAATTTTTATTTATTTTCATAAAGCGGTTGATAAGCACAATCACTTGTATTACTAAAAAACTGTAACAAACGTTTTGAATAGATTTTTAATGTTTACAAGGAATTTTATTTCTTGTAAATAAATTAAAATGTTGAAATAAAAATCTTATAGGTTTAAAAGACATAATTCAGCGAAAAAATTTGTATATTAAACAATATTTAATAAAAGGTGCGCTAAAATAAAAAAAAGAAAACATCACGTGGTTAAATATGAGAATTAATTTTCATTTTATTTTTTACGTTTATTGAGCCTTTTTCAGGGTGCTTGTGGAAATTCGCTTTACATTGGTAGAAACCAGGTAACAAAACCAGGTTATGTAAACTTATCAAACTATCGACGTTCTATTTTTCAGTAGCTGTTCTTGAGCACGCTTCATTGAATTTTGGTAACTTTTAACAAAAAAGTAATTGTTATTATTTAAGTAATTTTTTTTGAGTTACTTTTTACAAAAATTTAATAACTGTACTTTTTTATTGAATCAAGTAGAATACGTTTTAATGTTAATTCTTTTTTTTTTTTTTATTTGCGCTTACCAATTTTTAAAATGTTTCCTCAAAATTACACTTAAATACTTTAAATATATCTAACAGTTATTAATCATTTTTAAATCTATGTAATAATTTCAAAACCTAACAAACCCCTGTAAAATAATTATTTAAGTTAAAAATCTAAAACTAAAAAAAAGTATTTTTGTTCAATTTTATGAACAACTTTGCTATTGCTTAATTAATTTTATTAAAATGTTAGCTTAAAAAGATTTAAACTTTTTTTTTTATCTGAATTTTTCTCTACTTGTAAATAATGAGCATAATTAATTTTTTTGTAATTCAAACTTTTATATCAACTGCGTGCGGTTTTTAAAATACTTTATTAAATGTTAAAATATACGTAAATTACTTCATTAAGTTTCCGCTCAAAAATATCTTTAAACATACTCAAACAAAAATTTTTTTGCTCGACACAAATAGCCCTAGTTACACGCAAAATTGCTCTTAGACGATATAAAATTCACATTTCCTGACGCTTTATCGCAAGGCCTGACATATATATATGCATATATATACACATATATATACATATATTTATATACATATATATATATACATATATATATATATATATATATATATATATATATATATATATATATATATATATATATATATATATATATATATATATATATATATATATATATGGGTGTATATATGTGTATATATATATATATATATATATGCTCATAGTATTCAACTTAAATTAAAAAGCAATAACACAATTAAATATAATAATTACCTTATAATTGGCTCTATTATCTGAATCACAGCTCTCAGAATCAGTATCATCAATCTTATTTGCTTCATTCTCTTCAAATCCATCATTTGAGAGTAGTTTGGCTTTAAGCACATTGCGTAATTTTGACTTTGTATTTTTTTCCCCAGTTTCCTCATTCATTTTTTCAAATAGATGAATAATAAACTTAATACTAATTTGTTTATATCTATTTATCAATATATATATATATATATATATATATATATATATATATATATATATATATATATATATATATATATATATATATATATATATATATATATATATATATATATATATGTAAATTAATAGAAAACTACTTAACAAATAATTTTCATTTAACACTGTGTTTCATCAATAAAAACTCATCAGAAATCTGATGAGTCATTATTGATGAAACACAGTGTTGAATAAAAAATTTTTGTTAATGATTTTCTATTAATTTATTTTTGCTCTGTTCTTTTAGGTCCATTGAGCACTGTATTTTGTATAATACATTTTAAAATTCTTCTAACCAAAATTTTACCAATCTTTTTAAGAAATCAAGAGCTTTACAATAATATGTTATTCGTTACTGTAAAAAAATAAAAATACATTATAAAAGTTCCAAAAATTTGACAGTTTATCAAATAAAAACTATATAAATTTTTGTTCTACTGTAACCCGTATACAAATTGATAAATGTAGCCTCCCTCCTTCAATTGACTCTGGTCGTACTAATATGTGTTTCTTATGGTACAACCATTATTGCACCCTATTTAACTCTGTAAGCCCAACATGCTGTATAGATGATACTTTCATATTTAACCATTGTAAACTTCTCAGGAATGATGCTCACCTCATTACTCCTGATGAGGTCCAATCTATTATTAAACTTATGACTCCTGGAAAAGTACCTGAACACTTTTAATTTCAGTTGGAGCATCATAATAGCACTAATAACTTTAATTTACTATCATTGTGTTTTTCCTCAATATTTTGCCATCGATACCTATTGTTGCTGCACACTTATCCAACTGCTCTGATTACAATTTTTTTCAAGATTTTTGAACACATTCGTTTCATGCCTTAATAAAAACTTGATTAAGACTCCTAATCAAATTGGTTTCAAATAACATAGCACTTTTATGCCCTTCCTTATTTTAAAAGATATTTTTAATTTTTACTTGCCTCAAATAGACATGTAGCATTTATTGATATCAATAAAGCTTCTGATAGAGTTTGCTTTGATATATTGTTTTTGAAACTCTCTAAAATTGCCTCTGGTGTGTCATTGCGCTTACTCGTTGTCTGGTATACTGATCAAACAACTCAAATCTCATGGGCTGGCTTACTATCCCATACATTTACTATTGATAATGAAGTGCAACAAGGAGGTGTTTAATCTTATTTAAAAGTTATGAACCCTAAGTTAAAATCCTTGTCATACAAGTTTTTGTACACTAATCGATACCTGGGACATCTAATTTTAAATGACATGCATGATGACAAAGATACTTTAAAACAAATATATCTATTGAATGCCAAAGCTAACATTATTCATAGGAAGTTCTACTCAAAACAAGTTCAAACAAAGATCATGTTGTTCAATGCCTTATGCAATCTTATTTATGGTTAGGGTTGCCAGATGTCCAGCTTTTATGAAGGAGAACATAGAAAAATAAAATATATTTTTACAGGTTTGGTGCTGTGTTCTCCTCCTTAAAAGCTGAATGTCTGGCAACCTTATTAATAGTTGTCAGCTTAGGTATCTTCTGCAAAAAGATTCATTTCATTTTCTTCATGTTGCATATAATAATGCACTATGACTGATTCTAAACAAACCTCTTTGGAAGTGCTAGCAAACTATTTGTAAGACATGGCGGTCATCCACTTAATGTTGTTACTTGTAAGCAATGATATTCTTCTTTATTATTGCTGCAGAACAGTGAGAACCTCATTATAAAATCTTTTGTAAACTCAGACAGGTTCTAATGCAGGGCTCGAATTAAGGATATTGCAATCACGATCGCTTTTCTCATCTTCGCGATTAGTTTTTTCTTAAAAAAAAAGTATTTTTGCTATTTAGCATTAATTTAGCCATTCTTAAAAGTATAGTTATATATAAAATGTTTTTGTCTAAGGTTTTTTTTAGGGGTCATAAAATATATGCTAAAATTATCTTTTGAATAGAAGTATGATTATTTGCTCTCTTGTGTGGTGATTTTCATTCAACATAAATCACTTTTGAATTTAAATTACTTTAAATCTCTGCATGGATCTCAATAATAGCCTACTTCTATTTTAAAGTTAAATTTAGTTTGATTTACTTAATTGATAAAGTACATTGCAATAAATTTACCTATAAACTAAATCAAAACAACCAATTAAGTTACTACAGTTAAATTACTCAACTATTAAATTTACTTAATATGCTCAAACAAAAAAAGTTTCTATTAATATCTTATATGTTGTTAACACATAATTAGCTTCTAACTAAAAATTATTTTAACAAGAAATCTTAAATAGAATATTAAAAACATATACCATTTTTTTATATTTTCATTTTATTTAAAACAAGTTGTTTTTAGTAATTTTTTTAAATAGAATTCTATAGAAAAGTCTATTTGAACAATAGAATTTTAGTCTTCTAAATTTCTCTTATTCAAATAATCTTGCGATTGAAATTTTAAATTAAAAAAAAAAATTTAATGTTTGACAACAATTTATTTAATCATTACAAATCAATTAATCATTACAAATTTAATTGCAGCAATGTTTGCAATACCCAGTGGTATATAGGGAGGATAACATAGATCTAGCTACAGTAACAAAATTTTAGATTTAGAAGATAGTGCTGCAACTGAGGAAGGGAGTTTTATTTAAATAGTAAACATATTTTAATAGTAAAATATTTTTTGTAAAAACATCATTATTTTTTTTTTCTAGAAAATAGTTTTAAAAGTAGAAACATTCTATTGCAAAATTCACTTTAAGTTAGATTAAAAAAATTATTTTACTTCTGTCCCAAAAATTTTTTTCCAAAAAAATAATTAAAGGCTTAAATATATGTATGCTTAAATTTTAGACATATACTCAAACTTATAGAAATATAATTCAACTTATTAAACCGAATCTTTTTTTTCTTTCTTTTTATTGCAAAACAATTTGAATAAAAAAAAATTAATGAAAACATGCTTAGGGCACTTTTCAAAGCAATACAATGATTAGATATGGTTATATTTGTCAATACAAGGGTGCTTGATGCAGCACATTTTCATTTATACTTTTTAAATATAAAGTAGCAAGCAAAGTTTTTTATTTTTGAAAACTTGAAAAATTGTTACTGATAGTTGTAAATATTGTAAATTATTGACCACTGAAATAAACTAAACTAAACTATATTCAAATATATATATATATATATATATATATATATATATATATATATATATATATATATATATATATATATATATATATATATATATATATATATATATATATATATATATATTAAAAAAATGAAATATAATACATATAAAAAAATAAAAATAACAAAAATTATATTTTTATAACAAAATATTAAATTTTAATATGTATAAATAAAAATAGATACAAAACAAAAATAACAAATATTTCTTTTTATAACAAAATTTTCATCATCAACATTTTATGACAATGCAAATTTATACAATTTTAGTACATTAATAATATAGTATCAATATAATAATAAGTAGACACAGGCATACTATAGGCTATAATTACCTAAAACTTACAAGTAATTAGTAATATTTTAATTGATCAAGTATGCTTTTACTGTAGACACAAAAAGTAAAGAAACAATTTTTTTAATTTATGTTATGGTTAAGTCTTAATATTACTCCTAGGGTTCCATACTTAGACCACTGTTATTTCTTATTTATATTAATGATCTCTATAGAGTCTATTGACAATAATGTCGTAATAACTTCAATAACTCTTTTCTAGATATAAATGTTTAGCTAATAAAAAATTCTTACTTGTTTAAATCAAATGAAAATTCACTCAATTTCGAAAAAAACTAAATGGATTTTTTTCAAAAAAATATTAACAATGGTATGCCTCTGATAAAAAATGGTAATGTGGTAATCCCTCTGATAAAAAAAAATTTATTGATAAAATTCATATCGAATTATACTAAATTTTTAGATATCATTCAATGATTTTTAGATATCATTCAAAAAATTTTTAAATATCATTCAATATCATTGAAATTCAATGATTCATTGAATTTCAATGATATCTAAAAATTTAAAAACAATTTCAATGTGAAAACAGACAACATTGGAAAGTTATGCTAAATTATGAAACCTATGATTTTTCGCATGAACGGAGTTATTATTCAAAAGAAAAACTAAAAGAAATAATTTTTTTGTTATAAAATGATAAAAAAAATCTCTTTTTTTTATCATTTTATAACATTTTTCTTTAATTTTTAAAAGTATACCTTTCACCCGTTTCATAATTGAAATATTGATTCTCGGAATGTAAATTTTAAAATTAAATTTAGAATGTTGATATTTGTATTATTGTCAAGTTAATGTATGTTTTTATTTATCTTGCTAATTTTATGTTACGTCCGAGCGGTTCTCGATTCAAGACCAAACGATTTTCACGAGTCTTTACGTTAAGTATATCTTCGAATTATATTATAAACTTATATTACAGGCTTTTATAAATTTCTTAATTCCAGAGAGAGTAGAGTTAAAAAGTATAGTGTCATCAGCCTATGCTACAACATCTTTTTAGTAAAATCTTCAGAGCATCCATTTCACAAGGGTCTTTTCCAGATAAACTAAAAATAGCGAAAGTAACTCCAATCTTTAAGACAGGGGATCGTACAAATATAACAAATTATCGCCCTATTTCAGTTCTTCCAGTTTTTTCAAAAATTTTAGAAAGAATAATGTACAACCGAATCTACTCTTATCTTGTTGAAAATAAAATTCTATACGAAAACCAATTTGGTTTCAAAAAAAATAATTCAACCGAGCATGCCATTCTTCAACTTACGCGCAATATAACCGACTCATTTAAAGACTCTTGTTTTACACTAGGAGTGTTTATTGATTTGTCCAATTCATTTGATACCGTCAATCATCAAATCCTGTTAAAAAAACTAATATCATATGGTATTAAAGATAAAACCCTATTATGGTTTGAAAGTTAACTTACT